CAAACATGTAATTTCCATGATTTCTTTTTAATGACTGCGGTCTGCGGCCAGTAGGTACTGATTTATGAAAAGCTGTAAAAGATCAGGTGGAACTCTGTAGGACATCGTTTACAGCTGCAGGATTGAAATCTATCTAATTTGTCTAGTAAAAGTGTGAGCTCACGGTGCACATCGCCCAGCCTATAAATTTCCCCTTCAGACCTGATGTCTGGGGTTGGGTCTAAAAAAACGTCAATGCCTGCAGCTGCTCAAAAAGCCCAGATTCCCTTGGTGCGCATGAAGAGACATCACAGGCTCTTCACAGTGAGAGACAAATTCCTATCCATTGATAAACTCTCCAGATGTCCTCTCCGAGGAGGAAAGGAACCAATTTTTATTTGAAATCCCCAGAGAAATCCTGGAAGTGGAAAAATGATACTTTGCAGGGCTGGTTATTCTGAGGTCACTGGCATTAAAATTAGGTCATTTTTTTTGTCTTGGTTGTACTTTGATCCAAGTCATAAACAGAAAAACTCAGTTGGGGTCAACCTAATCCCTAATCCGCAAGTCCTGTTCTATTTCAATTTATTTAGACTAATTTTCTCTAAACTCTTGTTGAATCTGGCTAACGGGTTGAGTTTAAAATACAAACTATTTCGAATTCGAAAGAAAAGCTACTTCATTTTGCCATGAGGCACACTTCACAAATATTCTGAATAAATGTCCTGAGGTTTGATTCTTCATACCCACCAATCCATAAATAAGAAAGTATTACTATTTGTGGGACTAAGAGTTGACATTAAATTCTCTGCTACAGCTGCTGTAGACAGAAACTGTGGTGTGTGTGTGCCTGTAAAGAGTTTAGTAAAGAGTTTAGTACCTTGTCTGATTTCTAGGTCTCGCTTAATTTGTCCTAAAACATTTTCCAACATCTGATTTAATGCTATTTCTGTTGATTTTTGTTTACTGACTCAGTGACTACTTCAGTGAATCCAACATAATAGCCATAGCTTGCAAGAATTGTTCAGGCTTAAGAACCTTAACTTCACACGTAAGCATGTCTCCAGTATACCAGGGAATGAGTTCAAGAAATATCACCAGTAGTAGCAGAAACAGTCCAATTAAAAATTGTTCTTAAGGGCTGGCAGGTGGCATTCTGGTTAAGGGTCCTGGACTTCCACATGGCCGACTATAGTTCAAGTCCCAGACCTAGCGGCGTGCTTTCTCACTTTCTCTCTCTCTCTCTCTCTCTCGCTCTCTCACTCTCGCTCTCTCGCTCTGTCCCTCTCTAGTCAAATTAAAATTAGTAAATAAATAAAGTTAAATAAAATAATTCTTCTAAAAAATCCTTTTTAAGTGTGGGCAGAGTCAGCACATTTGTGGATTTGCTTCAGAGAGAGATTTTCTCATTTAGAACGGGAATTTTTATTTTATCACATGTCCTAGGCACAATCAATGGCTGCTGCTCACAGGTAAAACACTAGACAGTTCTTTTGTCTGGATTGTTCATTTTTCTGTGATTTCATGCTATCTCTAAAGATATTATTGAAAGTAGCACTTCAGAGAGCTAAACTCATTTCTAAAATAAGTATAAAACTATATTAGTATTATTGATTTGTTTTGTGTCTTCTGACAATTAACTCTAAACATCAAATTTAAGGACTTCATATGATATAGATTTCATTTAGGCAAATCATTCATTTTAAGAATGTAAAAGCTATGAAGTGCTAATTTCAAAACCCCTAATATTGGGGACTTTTAAAATAATAATTCTAAACAAGTCTTAAGGGAGAAGTGCAGATTAAATTCAACTGCAATATCACAAAACGTGATATGACTGAATGACTGCAGATGTAAAACTCAAAATGTATTTCTCCTTTATAAAATAAAGAATAGGAAATATTATACAAAGTTTTAAAGCTAGTAATATATTTCATTGCAATAATCAAAACAATCATGCCGGAAGGCAGACGAGCACATCCACTTGTTAGCACTGGCTGTGGAATCACCACTTGCAGAAGTCATTGACTATTCTGGCGAGGCCCCTCTTAGTACCTAGTTTCCTGAATGGCTGCACTACTTTGTGCATAATACTGAGTCAGTGGGGAAGTCATGACATTCTTGTGTAAAAAAACAGAAAAAAAAGTCATGACTTTCTGACAACCTAATATTATAATTAACTTCTAGTTACTCAAGTGGTAATTAAGAAGATTATTATATTTCTTGAATTTTATGTAAACTGGTATTTACTATGCTATTTTTCTTTATAAAGTTCTACAGTTTTAAGTCTTTTTACCAAACACGTTACTTTATATCATAATATTGAGTAATCATTAATAATATAGTGCTTATAAGGTATTAACACTGCTCTAAGTACTACCTACATTTGCACATTTAGTCTCATTTGTGTGAAACCTGCATCATTACTATTATTTCTGTTTCACAGATGAGAAAACGGAGAAGATAAGAAAACCTCCAAGGTCACATACATAGTGTTGATAAACTCAGGCTTTAACCTGAGCCTCTAGTGGTTCCAGAATCTGTGCACTAAACCCTCTACTTCCTAGCATATGCAATTTAAAGAAGCTGCATCACAGAATCACATGTAGCCTAAGAGAAAATAGGGAAATGCAACTGGAATAGTGTCACCTGAGTGGTATAGCATGGTGGTTAAAACTGTAGGCTCTGGTGTAATACAACGTGTGTCTAAATCTCTGTTTCTTTTGCCTGAGGGAACCCAGATTTGTAACTTAATCTCATTAAGCTTTAGCATCCCCATCTGTTATAAGAATAGCAACAGTGCCTCTCATTGTAAAGGTTAAAGTCCTTCATGTCTATGTAATATGCTTAGTGTAATTCTTGGCACATTTTAAGTGCTCATGAATGTTCGACATAATCGAAAACAAGGACCTTCATAATGTTTCGCTGTTGTTATTATTTATCTAAAACATAACCTTAATAAATACTTCATGCTGAAGTTCCTTTTCTTAAAAAAAAAAAAGAAGAAGCAACACCTTAACCATTATGCCACCTGCTCACACATGAATGACCATGGTTTGAGTCCTGGACCTGGTGGCTTGAAAATCACACAGGGTGGCTGTGCTTGTATGTCTCAAATCCCGAGAGAAGAATAGAGGAGTTGGGATTGTAGCATTGCCATTCCCCCTAGTGGGTACTTTCTCCCTTTCCTTCTCACTGTCTCTCGCTTTCTCTGGTGAGCACATGCATGCTATGTCAAAAACCTTAAAAAAAAAAAAAAAAAGAAGAAGCAACACCTTAACCATTATGCCACCTGCTCACACATGAATGACCATGGTTTGAGTCCTGGACCTGGTTGCTTGACAAGCACACAGGGTGGCTGTGCTTGTATGTCTCAAATCCCGAGAGAAGAATAGAGGAGTTGGGATTGTAGCATTGCCATTCCCCCTAGTGGGTACTTTCTCCCTTTCCTTCTCACTGTCTCTCTCTTTCTCTGGTGAGCACATGCATGCTATGTCAAAAACCTTAAAAAAAAAAAAAAAAGAAAGAAAAATGAAAAAGAACAAGAGAAATCAATAAATTATACACCTAGTTATTGGTTTCAGTCTTATGAAATGAAGGACAATTAAAGAAGTCACTAAGAGCTGGAAACAAAAAAGAAAGAGAAAGGAAGGAAGGGAGGGAGGGAGGGAGGGAGGGAGGGAAGGAGGGAGGAAGGAAGGAAAGAAAAAAGAAAGAAAGAAAGAGAGAAAGAAAGAAAGGAAAGAAAGAAGGAAGGAAGGAAGGAAGGAAGGAAGGAAGGAAGGAAGGAAGGAAGGAAGGAAAGAAAAGAAAGAAAGAGAAGAAAGAAAAAGGAAGAAAGACAGGAAAAAGAAAGAAAAATTGGAATAAAGGAGAGAGAAGGAAGGAAGGGAGGGAGGGAGGGAGAAAGTAAAAAAAAGGAAGGCAGGAAGGAAGGAAGGAAGGAAAGGAGGGAGGGAGGAAGGAAGGAAGGAAGGGAAGAAAGAAAAAGGAAGAAAGACAAAGGAAAAAGGAAAAATGGAATAAAGGAGAGGAAGGAAGGAAGGAAGCAAAGAAGGAAGGAAGGAAGGAAGGAAAGGAGGGAGGGAGGAAGGAAGGAAGGAAGGAAGGAAGGAAGGAAAGGAGGGAGGGAGGAAGCAAGAGAGGGAGGGAGGGAGGAAGGAAGAAAAAGAAAGAAACCACTGCAAAGAAGTTCACTAACAGGCTGCTTTTGGCTCTCGGGGATGCAGTCTTTTCATTTCCTTCATGTCTCTTCTGTACCTGTGTTTCACAAGGTTGTGCAGACAGTCAAAGATCTAAGATCAAGCTCATAATTACATAAAACAATTTTAATACTACCTTCTCTTAATGCTGATTGTATCATGCCATATAAATCATAATCACAATTTTGATCTATCTATCTCTATATCTGACATGAACTCCATTTGTTTTTGTCTAATGTGCAAGAACTTAATTTGTTATATCTCATTGACTTTTTTTATTTCTTTTGTAATTTTTATTTTTAATGATTTGTGACATTATTTAAATCTCTGACGACTTTATGTCCAGTGGTAAGTATAGGCTAGATTGCTCAAACCATCCTTTAGACTGGAACCTGTATGTCTACAAACGTCTGGTCAACAGTATTTAATACTGAAACCGAATCCATCACCGAAGCAGCAAATTATTCAGTGTGTCGTACCTACCGTAACTGTAGCCAAACTCACCACCATCTTTCTAATGGTGAAAAAAATTACTGTATAAGAAAATATGTATTGATATATTTGTGCCCTTCACTGGCAAAGTTTCAGTGACTTAAAGAGCAGCCGTGCATAGGGAAGGAAAGCACTCAGCAAGATGATCACGTAGTGTCCCTCCACACTGCCAAGTTGAACAGATGAAGCCTTCATGGCAGATAACTTCCACAAATAACAGGAACGCCATGGGAAGTCTGGAAGTTCCTACTGATGTTAGAGTCACATTTTGACACATAGCAAGCTGATGCGTGATTTCTCTCCGTTTGCTGCTTTCTTATCTTGCAGGCCATCAAATCTTCTTCTGGACCAAAGCAATGTCGACATCACTACCTTCCGTACAACAAGCGACTGGCTTAATGGTGTCCGGACAGCACACTGCAAGGAAATCTTCACGGGGGTGGAGTACAGTTCCTGTGACACCATAGCCAAGATTTCCACAGAGTAAGTAAATTATTGATTAAGAATAATCAAGGATTCTAAACGTTCTGTTTTAGATTAATGTGGTATATGCATTAATTACACCTCTGAAGTACTTACCGTCTCCTGTGACCACTCAACTGTGACCCTGGGCCACTTTATGATCCATACTATCTGGATTGGTGTGTGTTTATGTGGCTTCCTCCCTCCTAATGGGGTCCAGGATAGGTGTCTTCATTGATACTGTGACCTTCAGATGTATCAACAGATACGTACATTGAATCCATCTCCACAGATCCACGCTTTTAATTCTCTTACGCATTCATTTATTTATAATTTTTTTAAGTTTGCTACAGGGATATTTGAGAGAGAGAGAGAACGGAGAGAGAGAAAGAGAGAGAAATCACCCGTTAAGGGAGGATGGCCACACAGCAATCCCTTCTCATCCATTCTAGGAAGTTTGAGCACACATACACACACTGCAGGCATACTTTTCAAGTCTCAGAGTCCTGGCCTTGAGCCATGCAACCTGCCATGTGGGGTCCAGCTGCCTGAACCACCACATCACCAGCTGACCATAAAAATTTTTCCTTTTTATTTCATGAGCGTGATTGAGAGACACACACACACATATACCCCCAACATGGTTTCAAGTTGCAATCCTCCCTACCCAGGCTTCCTAGTCATCTAGCATCATTGGTGTGTGTTCTGCTGTGTAGAGATTGACTAGGGAACTGAGCCCAAGGCCTTCCATGTGATGCCAGCTTTGCATGGGCAGTGAGTTACTGCTGCCTCACTGAGCCACCCTAAGTTTCTAACTTAGAACATTAGCAGCTGTCACAGAGGATGATTGTATTTCTTGTACGTGTGTGTATGACTTTATGTTATTTGTACTAAAACTTAACCTCTGTGAAGTTGGAAAGTTCAGAACTGAATGAATAACTAGGTACATAGGGAAACAGAAGTAGTCTTCACAACTACTGAATAAATGGCTGACAACATCATCTGTTCTCAAGTGTCTACTCTGTGAAAGATGTCATGCTAGAAAATGAAATTATAGAAAAGTTTAATATTAGTATTAATTTATGCTTTCATGTGTTAAAGTCTATAATAATCAATTATAATATTCTGTATTTTATAGGCATGTTTTGTAACTGGAATCTTTTGATATAAAAAACTTGTGTCTTAAGGAAAGGGGGTACGATTCAATTCAGGCAGGTGAACTGATGAATAATAATGTAAAAACTGCTTAATTGGTACTGGAAAATGAAGAGCTAGAAATTGTATTATTTCTCTGTGAATAAGAGTCAATTTACTTCACATTAGATGTTATTATATTGTTATTTCTTTTCTGCAGAGGCTTTTTCTGCATTCTCATGCACATAGCTAAACGTGGCAGTCTTAACTCTAAGTCATGGTACCATTCAATAGGCCAGGGCTCTACTCTTCTCTTTCTAAGTCTCTATAAAAAGAACTCGACTAAGTTCCATCTGTAGGTTAACAGCTACAAAATCTGTTTGCAATATCTAATCATTTCTGTTCAGAAGAAATGAGTGGAGGCCCAGTTGTGGTGGTGCAGTCAGTAAGGTGCTGCTGCAGGAGACTGGGGCCGCATTGGAAGCCTGGGTTCTAATCCCAGACCAACTCAAGCAGGCTGGATGTAGTAGTGTGAGCCTGTAATCCTACCTAGCTGAGAGACTGGGGCAGAGGATCACAATGATAAGGCCCTGTTAAAAATGTCAATCTTGGGACCAACAGATGGCATAATGGTTACATTGCTGAATTCCCATGTAGTTGACTGTGGTTCAAGTCCTGGACCCGGAGACTTCAAAATAAAGCCAGGCACATGTGTGTGTGTGAGCCCAAGATCCCAAGAGGAGAATGTTGGAGAAGAGATTACAATGTGACCGTCCTCCTGGTGGTGTTCCCTTACTTTCTGTCTGTCTATTTTTCCATCTCTCTAGTATGCACATGTGCCCTGTAACAAAAATGTCTCAAAAAAAAAAAAAAGCCAATGTCTCTCTTTCTCTCTCTGCTTCCTCCTCCCATATTTTCTCTCTTGTAGAAGAGTAAAAACAAAAGATATAAAATCAGGTGAGATGAACTTGACTCTATGAGCCCTTTCCTGAGGATAAGGTGGAAGAGAGACGCCAAAAAATAGTTTTGTGCTGTACAGACACATTGAAAGTTGTCAGAAATACTGAATTGGCATGGCCTGGTAGAAACTGGTTTGTTTCTGTGTCAGAGTTTTCTTTTTCTTTTTTTCTTTTTTTCCTGAGAGGTTTTTGCTATAGGGCACATGTGCTTGCCAGATAGACAGAGAGAGACAGAGAGACAGAAAGAGAGAAATCACCCCCAGGGGGGATGGCCATGCCGCAATCCCTTCTCCTTTCTCCTCTCGGGATCTTGGGCATGCACGCACACGTACCTGGCATGAGTTTAAGCCACTGGGTCCAGGACATGAACCGCGGTCGACTACATGGGAGTCCAGCGACATAGCCATTACACTAACTGCTTGTCCCCAAGAATTTTCTATTTTTGATACAGGTTATTGTAACAAAAACCCTTTAGTCTTCTCAAGTTTGTTAAGTCTTATCCTTTCAAATTAGTATTTGAATATTTAAATATTGATGAATATATATAGACTCTCCTTGTCATCCTCTCAATCATTTAAATGAAGGCACTATGGAAAACAACAGGTTAGATGTCAAAATGTTGTGCAGAGTAATTAATAGAAGTATCTAACAAGTATCTTACAATTTATGTGGTAACATTCCAGTCATAAACACATAAACCTACAGAAGGACCTATAGGAAGGGCTTATTATTACTGGAGAGAACTTGCTCTCAGAAAAGAAGAAAAACAAAACTCATTCTAATCCAT